TTTTTTTTTTTTTTGCTTTTGACATGTTGAATATTGTGGTTGTGGTGTTTTTATTTGAAAGGTGAAGCGTGTTCTAAGAGCAGGTTCTGTCATCAAAATCGCAGTGCCGAGGCAGTTTGAAGTCAGTGGAGGATCACAGAATCACAGAATGTTTGGGGTTAGAAGGGACCTCTGTGGGTCATCTAGTCCAACCCCCCTGCTGAAGCATGGTCACCTACAGCAGGCTGCACAGGACTGCGTCCAGGCGGATCTTGACTATCTCCAGAGAAGGAGACTCCACAGCCCCTCTGGGCAGCCTGGGCCAGTGCTCCGTCACCCTTAGAGGGAAGAAGTTCTTCCTCATGTTCAACTGGAACTTCCTCTGCTCCAGTTTGTGCCCATTGACCCTTGTCCTGTCACTGGGCACCATTGAAAAGAGTCTGGCCCCGTCCTATTGACCTCCACCCTTAAGATATTTATCGGCATTTCTAAGGTCCCCTCTCAGCCTTCTTTTCTTCAGGCTGAATAAGCCCAGCTCCCTCAGCCTTTCCTCATAGGAGAGATGCTCCAGTCCCCTCCTCGTCCTCTTAGCCCTCCTCTGGACTCTCTCCAGTAGCTCCTCATTTTTCTTGAACTGGGGAGCCCAGAATTGGACACAGTACTGCAGATGGGGCTTCACTAGGGCAGAGTAGAGGGGAAGGAGAACCTCCCTCAACCTGCTGGCCATCAGATGCTCAAGATTTATGAGAACTCTGCAATTTTATTTACAGAAGTAGAAAATAAATCTTGAATCTTGGAAAAATATTTACTTCTTTCAGCTACTCTTCCTAAAGGAGGCTTGAATTAACTATCTGAAAACGATGGAGACCTGCCATTCCTGTATAATGAGCCAACGCTTCTCTGTGAATTGAGGTGATGTTGATCTTGACCAGTGGAGGGGTGGAGTGGGAGAACAGTACTCCTTATGGAGGAATTTGCATCAGATTGATCTGCCCAACGTTTGGAAACTGCTCTCTGGGGGTTTGGCATCAGAAGCTGCTGGTGAGATGTATTCCATGTTGAGCAGCAGAGAAGTGAACTGCAGCGGTTGACTAAAATGCTGGATGTGTATGTCTGGATCTAGCTGGGATCAGTAGGCAACGGAGGAACTTGAAACAATGAGCAGTGTCCCAGAAAGGAATGCGTAGAAATGGCTGTGTGGCTATATCCTAATACCATTAAAAATATTTCGTGGAGTCCTTAAAGTGAGGCTTTTCTCCGCAGCGTTGCTGTTATCTGAGAATGGTGACTGGCCGGAGGAGGCTGGTGGGCTGGCTTTGAGGGGGAATTCACAATGCAAGGGACTGCTTGTGGAGACCACGTGTAAGTGGATTAAAGAGGTGTTAATGGGTGCTTGATCTTGCTTAAGCTGGCAAAGTGGCTTTGATTTGATTGTAGGTTATTTTAAGCCAATTTCCCACTAAAAATGTTTGTTGCTAAAACAGTCTTTGCGTTCTAGAGCAGGTCTTTTAAAAAAGGAGAAAAAAAGGAAAAGGGAAGGAAGGAAGAGGAAAGGTAGGATGAAGTTCAGTATTCCTCTGTGAAGTAATTGAGAATGTCTGGTGTCCTACGGAGCATCCATTTCCAGTTGTCTGGAGAGCAGAGCTGAGTTTATCTTCCCACGCTGTTGAGTTGAGCGGTCGGTTCTCCTGGGGGCTTAATCCAACCCCGGGCTGCTTGAGGAGGGTCTCCTGCTGCCTGGCCCTGTGGTGGTCCTTGGGTAGGCTGCTGTGCCTGGAAATGGGAACTCGCAGGAGCCTGTAGTGTTTCTGCAAGTTGTCTCACCTCGCTTGCTCATTTCCTCGCAGAAGACTGCCAGTTGTGAGTTTTGTTTCTGGTTTTATTTTTGTGAGGCAGAACTTTCAGTTTTCTTTAATGGTTTACTTTGTTTCTGTGCAGAGGAAGGTCGGGGCTTGAATCTTCGTGCATTTATTATTGATAGTATGCGTTGGAAACATCAGAGGAGTGAGTGATGGCATGGTCTGTACTGTAGCAGCACTGGTTTCTGAGGCAATCCATTATCAAGCTTAGACCGTAAGGGAAGCGCGGCGCCGCGGGAGAGGCGAAGCGCGGTGGTGAGCTGTTACTAGAATAAAATCATCCCAGCTCCGGAGAGCTGCGAAACTTCAGTGACCTTGCAACGCCTGTGCGCTGATGCTGAGAATTATTTTTAGGACTTATAAACACTGAGCTATAACTGATAAATCCCAATAATAAAAGCTATATTTGGGGGCGGGGGGGATGTTCTTGAATCAAATTGCTGAATACTGGTATATGGCTTTTCAAAGTGCTGGAAATTTCTCAGTCTTTCAGGCCGCTGCTTCCCGGGCCCTGTCGGTGTTGCCGGTGGCAGTGTGGCATCGAGGCATCGTAGGAGTGGGTGTCAGGAGTCCGCTCAAAGTTCACGCTCCCCGTGCTGGCACTGTATTTATTATCTCTCAGCAGCTGAAAGCATCTTCACTGGAGCTAGCTGTCTTTGTGGGAGTTATGTGACGAGGACGAGCTGTCTTAAAGTTATGAAATGCCACCAAAAATAAAGGCAACTTCTCATATTGTTTTCTTTAGTGAATGGAGCTGAGGAAATGGTCCTGCATGTCCAAAGCTTTCACTTACAGTGGACAAATCTTGTTTCTGCCAATGAATGGTTTAAATTCCAGATTATTTTGCCCTCCACTTGGACTTTGTGCTCTTGATGGTTTTTTAGGTGCATCTCTGACATGAATGGGTGGCAGTCACTCGGCCTCCCGAGTACAAGTCGGAGTGGAAGTGGTTTTAACTCTTTCCTTTAAATGTTGTTCCCAGGCATCTGAAGAGGCCTCGCTACGGGCTTTGGAGAGTCTAATGACAGAGTTTTTCCACAATTGCACAACGAATGAGCGGAAACGCGAGATAGGTGAGTTCCTGCATTTCCAAAGGCTGGTCCCCTTTGCTGTCTGCTGCCTGCAGGCCTTAGCAGAGGCGACTTGGTCATGTTAAACAAATATAGCAAATGAAGTGCTCTGTCTGATACCAGGCTGGCATCTTAGCCTCCCCTGCTTATGAATGAACTTGAAGTAAAGGCTTACGTAGTTTGGGTTTTGGAGATCCCATGGCAGATCCTATAGATAATTGATGTGTGGGTAGATGTCTACTGCAGTGAGCAAGAGTAGTAAGTTGGTTAGGGAAGAAGGATGTTGCATTTTCCTCTGCCTGTACGTGGTTGAATTGCATGTCCTGGAAAACCTCTACCCTCTGCCTAGAGATGAAGCATGGACTTAGATTTTTTTTTTTTTTTTTTTTTTTTTCCCCCCAGCATTAAGAAGGGAAAGCGGAAGACTGCCCTAGTTAATGTGAAATGACAAATAGGAATAAACAGTGAGGTTTCATTTTGGCTGGTGCCATTAAATAGTCCTCCTGCAAACCAGCAGAGATCTTATAGGTGCTCTAGATTAGCTGCTTGCATCCGTGGTTCATGGCTGTACATAGGCAGTTTGCTTTTGTTCTCAAACTTTTGCCATCTCTAACTTCAGTGCCAGGAGGATGATCAGCATGAAAGACTTCTCCCAGAAATCTGGTAAAATAAAGAATAAGCAACTAGGCAGCCTTTTTTTTTTTCCCTTTTGTGGTGATCTCCTGCTGTGGAAAAGGTAAAAGTCTTCAGCATCTCCCCTTTTCCTGATTAAGTTGCAGGCAAGAAGCCAAGTGATTAAGGCCTAAATTTGATTAGCCTGTGAAACAGCCCTTTTAGCTTTTGCCTTTGCCACACGTGGTACCTAGTCACTTGATGCGAGATGGCCAAATCCTGTACCTGAGTGTTTGGAGAGGTTTTTGATATGCTGACCTACAACAAAGTCAATAGCTCTTGAAGCCAGTGCCTTAAAGCAGGGGTGTTTTGTAACGCTGTGTGAGATCTGAAGGACTGCTAGTCTTTCACAGTCACCTGGTGTCCCAGTATTTGGCTTCCATAGATAAAATGGTAATGCTCGTAATGTAATTTTTGTGTGATTTGGTTTAATATTCAGCTATTAGTCTGGTGTGGTATTTATGTCAAAACTGTATTCTGAAATGACATATCTGTTTTGTTTTCATTAAAGCCCATTGTTAGATTGCTTTTAGTACTTTGGAGTGTGACACTATTTCCCCTCCTCCAGGTCGTTTGAGTCATTCCCTCAACATGGGGTTTCTTCCATGTTCAGTGTGTTATTGTGCTGTCAGTATCACTTTTTATCAGTATGCACTTTTGTTTACGGCTTAGGAATTTTAATGTAGTTTTTAAATACTTTCTTTTTTCAGAGGAGCTTTTAAATAACTTTGCCCAGCAGATAGGAGCCTGGAGATTCTGCCTCTATTTCCTGTCAAGTACAAGAAATGACTATGTAATGATGTACAGTTTGACTGTGTTTGAGGTAAGCTGTGTACTGTTGCCTGCTTAGTGCATTTTCTGTCTGGTACAGTTTTATATGGCAATCGATTTTATTGAAAATGTTTGTCTAAAATCGCAGCCCTAGTCAGTACGGTGATAAAGGAGGCTTTTATTGCTCTCTCCTAGAGAGGCGGCTTAATGGCAGGCGAAGAGTAGGAGAATATGAATCTTTGTACACAAATTGAAGAATTAATTTCCTGGCATCTCTCAGTACAAATTGCCTTCAGTTTCAGAGGCTGCTTGAGTTTTCTGCACAATGCTTTTAAGAGTATTATTGCTTTTGTATTCTTTTTATGGTCAGAAATATGTGCATGATTACCTGATACTAGCTACTGCAAACTTCAGTGCTAAAAGGGAAGACACCAGCTGCGTTTCTTTTTCTGACATCTCGTAGTTGTGGTTGGTGCTCTTGAACTGCCATCCCACAAGCTTATGTGCTAGTTGTAGAGGTAAGGTCTCTTTTAGAAGACCACATCCCACTGTTCAGCTATTTATAAAAGAGCAAAGTTATGGTTAAAAGCCCACATATTGATTTGTGTATCTACTGGAAGAAACAGAAGTATTCTGTGAACAGCTCTGTTCTGTCAGCTGATTTCGCAGTGACCAGTGCAGTGCCTTTCCCTAAGGATGTTCTGGGGCTTGGTCAATGTCCTGTCTTGCCCTGGTCCGTTTGTGGCCTCTGAGTTGTGTTCCTGGCTGGGCTGACAGTCTGAGCTACACTCCTGAATCCGAGGGGCTTTATACCCTTTGCAGCGGGCCACCTTTTAGATAGAGCAAACAACTCTGTTCTTAAAAGTTGTGTTTTTCTGCTAAATTATCCACGTTGTTGTTGACTTCTTTGCTTAAAATGTTCCCTTTATTTATCTGGAGCTGCATAGGGAGTCTGGAGTCGATCTGCAAACCAAATCTGGTTTGCCTACCTCTCAGAAAGGGGTGATCATGACAAATGTTATGGGAGTTGTTCCCTGGTCTGGGGGTGGATGTCACCCAGCAGCAGTCTGCAATAATTCAACTGATTTTCAGGAAGAGGAAAGCATGTTTGATTACTGAGCCTCTGCTTCTCGAGTGGGAGGGGTCAGGGGGAGAAGTATTGCTGAAAAAATGACTGTGCCCAGAGCTGAGCAGAACAAAGAAATGACTGTCGAAGCGTAAAGTGAGGGACAGGAGTCCACAGCTCAGCTGAGAGATTAGGATCTCTCCATCGAGGAGCTTGAGTTTCCAAAGTTAACTACTGTAGTGCTGCACACTCGACTGGTCTTCGTAGCCATAGTCTGTTGTGGTCTGCAACGTCATCAGTCTTCAACTGTCTGTGAGTACTGGAAGTCAATAAAAGTGTGTGTAGGATCATTCCCCAAACTTCCCAAGAACGTTGTATTTTCTACAATATCTGGGAAGTTAAAAGTGGATCTGGAATAAAAATCTTCATGGCCCCCTTCCAGGTGAACCATTTTCATTCTTGCTTTTGGAAAAGACATCGTCTTCCCAAACGTATTTCACAGGTGGAGAAAGCTGCTGCTTTCAGGTCAAATGAGTAGGGCAAAACTCAGTGGACATTAAAGCATAAATATTAAAGGTAAAGCATTTTTGAGTTTTACTGGGGCTTCTGAAATGCTCATTCTGGATTTGCATCGAGCAACTCATTTGGTTGGGTTTTTAAGCAATGCTTCTAGATCTTCTCTTCGAAAAAACCCAAAAAGCAACCTCTTTGAGGCACTTAATGTATAAATAGACCTCTGTACCTGTACACTGTGAACTGATAGCTCTGCACAGTATGTCTTTGACCATAAAAAATCTTCCATTTTCTGCAACAAACCACTTGGCAGTATTGCTGTCTTCCGGGTTCTCCACACTATATGCCTGCAGATGGGTCCAGACATTGCCTCGGTAGCAGACCTCCTCCATAAGTTATCCTGAGAGCCGCAGCTCTAATGCTGCAGAGCCCCTGAATGGGATCGTGACGTGGCAGGAAAGCACTTTGCAACTCTTCCACCTTATGGATTTTGTCTGGTTTCAAGTGGACTAAAACCTTTCTGTTAAATGGTGCCCTGTCACAGCAAGGCAGTCGCTCCGACAGTGACCTTCCAGCTGAGCTTCAGGAGACGCAGGGTGGCTTCAGTCATCTAAAACCGAACTTCCTTCCCCTCTTTTTTTTCCTGCTTCAAACAAGGCTATGCTTCCCCCTTTAAAGGGGAAAATCTAGGTGTCCAGGGTTAAAAGGTAGTGGAAATACTTTATATGCATGCCAACTAGTTCTGCTTGACCCAAAATCAATTAAAATGGTAACGTGCTGGCTGCTGTCACTTGTCAGTTGATAGAAATGGTGGTGTATTCCAAGAGATATTGGTAGCAATTTCTGGGGCATGGAAACCCATCTTCTGTGAAACTCTGATGTTGGTGGGCTGCTACAAATCCGATATGCTTGTGGTGGGGGTAGGCCTTCGAGTTTTTGTTAAGAGCTCATCCCTATGTACTGTGTGGCTTGTAAGAGCCAAGCTCAGTGAGTTTTTGTTCAGCAGCTTGAGCCACCACTGCCTTTGGTTGCCCAAGTACTCTGTTAGGTAGCAGAGCTTATTCCAGGTTGGTTAGGGGTGCAGGGTTTCCCCCCCCCGAGCTCTGTTTGTTCCACCTAGCTTAGTTCGCACACACTCACTTCTGCATGTTGTTAAAGATGTCAGGGTTGGTACTGGACTGCTGAGCAGCTGAAGCATCTGAAATACCGGCTCTGCCCAGCTTGAATAAAAGAGAAACATCTTCTGTTTAACTTGGTCTGTTTCTTTTCCAGAACCTAATCAATAAGATGTGGCTTGGGGTCCCCTCTCAAGACAAAATGGAGATCCGCAGCTGCCTGCCCAAGCTCCTTCTAGCTCACCATAAAACTCTGCCTTACTTCATCAGGAACAAACTCTGCAAAGTCATTGTGGATATTGGCCGGCAAGACTGGCCAATGTTCTACCATGACTTTTTCACTAACATCTTGCAGGTAAGCAGTTGCTAAGGGGAATACTTGGTTTCATTCAGGGATGTCATTTTGCTCCAGTGAGTAGTGATTTCCCTTGATGAAAACTAAATAATTACGTTAAAAACTAAGTTGCTTTTTGAATTCCTTTTCCTTTAACTGTGCAAATAACCCCTAGCTTCCTACATGTTACATTTCTTTTTAGTGTTATGAGTTTTTTGACAAAGCAACAAGTATCAACAGCACTTTGAGTTTTAAATACTTAGGAGTGGTTGTTGGAAATGTAGGGCTGTGGGTTTTTATTTAAACAAAAAAGTCAGTAAAACTCCGGGTGCATCACTGGATGATTCTCAGAGGTGAAGCTTCTGAATGTGGCTGTTGATTTTTGACCTGATAGCTAAAGATACCCTGTAATCTTTGGCACCTCCTGATGTAAAGTCACTGATGGAACGTTGTTGGGCTGTTTCAGAGGGTTCTTGCAGGAGGACTGGCGTATGTGTTTGAGGATCCTGGCTGAAACAGTGCCATGAGTTTCAATGTTGGTTGTAATTCTGCATCTTCCCAGTGAAGCCTGAGCCAGGCTACCAGCTCGCTGCTGCTGGAGCCCGACTAGGCTAGTGCAAACCTCCTTTTTTGGTTTGAGTACTTTGTTTCCTGTTCTCTTTAAATTGTTCATAATTGGCTTAAAGAGGCTGAGTGTAAACTAAATGCTGCACAGTCTTTTTCTGCTGGCATAATGACATGATTTGAATGCAGCTATGCCCACAGACAAGCTGCAAGGCAGTTATTTAAAATAATCAAAGTCCCTGAGTGTCAGGAGTTTAAGACAAACGGATCTAGTATTAATTGCAAAATTTAAAAAATGCTGACTTGGCCTACAGAGCTACTAACTGGTGTAATCTCTTTGCAGATAGCTTGCTGTTATATAGTGCAACATGCTGCGATTTTTTTCCCGAATTGTCAGTTTGACAATAAGTACTCTGAGGCAGCTGTCTACACTTACAGTTTTGCCTTTCATTTCACCTGGATCCACAACAGAATTACTGAACTTCTACTTGCCTTTCTAGCACTTTGGAGGTTATCTTAAGTGATTGCAGAGTCCACTTCGGGTATCTATTTTTCCTTAAGCCTCTCCTTGTGAACTCAGCTTCAGAGGGATATGTTCCCGTAAATGAATTTCTGTTGCAGACACCTTCCAAAAATATTCAGAGAAAGTGGAAGAAAAACGCTAATACTGAACTTCAAGACCTCAAAATAAAGAGTAGCAGCACAGGAGCAGAATGACTTGCTTTTTAGAGTTGCAGGTCATTCCTCTCTCAAGACTTGCTTCTGAGATAATTCAAGGCAACTGTTTGATTCTTTCACGTTAACATGTATCCAAGTGCTCTCTGTAGTCTCTAAAACTTTCACTGAACCGTTGGAGGGGTGGAGAAGAAAAGTAACGTGGACTATTGTATTGTTGCTATGCAAAACCAATAATTTTACGTAGAAAGTGCTACTCCTTTAAGAGGTATGAAATTTAGAGTCATAGAATGGTAAGGGTTGGAAGGGACCTTAAAGATCACCTGGTTCCAACCCCCCCGCCATGGGCAGGGACATCTTCCGCTAGACCATGTTGCTCAGAGCTCCATCCAACCTGGCCTTGAACACTACCAGAGACGGGGCATCCACAGCTTCTCTGGGCAACCTGTGCCAGTGTTTCAGCATACTCATGGTGAAGAATTTCTTCCTAATATCTCATCTAAGTCTGCCCTCTTTTAGTTTAGAGACATTCCTCCAGGTCCTATCACTACACACCCTTGTGAAAAGTCCTGCTCCATCCTTCCTGTCGGCCCTTTCAGGTACTGGCAGGCTGCTGTAAGGTCACCCTGGAGCCTTCTCTGCTCCAGGCTGAACAGCCCCAACTCCCTTAGCCTGTCGTTATAGGAGAGGAACTCTGGCCCTCTGGTCATCTTCGTGTCCCTCCTCTGGACCTGCTCCAACACATCCATGTCCTTCTTATGTTGGGGGCTCCAGAGCTGGATGCAGGACTCCAGGTGGGGTGTCATGAGAGCGGAGTAAAGGGGCAGAATCCCCTCCCTCGCCCTGCTGGCCACGCTGCTCTGGATGCAGCCCAGGATAAGGTTGGCTTTCTGGGCTGCAAGCGCACATTGCCGGCTCATGTTGAGTTTCTCACCCACCAGTACCCCCAAGTCCTTCTCCTCAGGGCTGCTCTTGAGCCACTCTCTGCCCAGTCTGTACTTGTGCCTGTGCGTGGTATTACTGCGCTCCCTGGTATTGTCAGAAAATATTCTGAGAGATGTTAAGTCTCTTTGCAAGCTATAACAAGTTGTGTATTTTTTTTAGTTTTCTTTTTTCAGCTCCCTGCTCCTGTGCCATCATGCTTGCTTTCTTTCTGAAAGCCAACGTACATGCAGACGAAAAGCTTTTAGATGGGCTTTTTCCCCCACATATTTCGCCAAACTGTGTAGCCTGAGCAGTGTTAACTCAGTGTGTCTCTGGTTTGGTGGGTCAAGGAGATTAGGACCGAGGTCAGCCTGTGTTGGAAAATTTATGACATCAAGGATTACTTGTAGTAATTGTGACTGGCTTTAGGCTTTCTCTTCCGGAGGGAGCAGCGCATAAATTGTGTTGGATGTTTCAGGTCAACAGAGAGCAGCATTGAATTTCAGCTGAAAATAAAACTTTGTCTCACTTGAATGTGTCTTTAATATCCCAGTGGCTAATGAAGGCAAAAATCATTGCTTTCTCTGGTCCTATTCATGCACGTTCTGTCCGTGATGGAAGTCACTCTTTATAGGGTAAATGTGATTTCTAGTTTGAGATGCGATACAGATGCAAGGAGAGGTTGGATCTCTTAGCTGTGTTCTGGTGTCATCCGATATTGGCTGCAGCTCTTCTTATGGGAAGGGGTGGGCTTTTTAATGGGAAACCACTTGGGTAATGGTGCAGGCTCCTGACCTGAGCATGGCTGCAATGGCAGGCCTGTGACAGGGCAAAACCGCTGGTGCTAAGGCAATTCTGAGAAGTGATGATGTCAGCAGAAGGCAGTAAACAGAAGGAACAAACTATTACCGGTAAACGTGCTGGAACAGAGGATGTGTGCAATGACATTAGGAAAGGTCTGTTGAAACATGCAGCGCTGCAAACTGTGGGAACTGCTACTCCCTCCATCTTGAAGCACTTGTAAACTGCTAGTAGTGTTACTAACCCCCTGTTTGTCTGCTGATAGCTCTGCGGAATGTTATCATCATATGTTGTGCTCGTGTGTTTTCCTCTCAGTTAATTCAGTCTCCTGTGACCACTCCTTTGGGACTGATCATGTTGAAAACTACTTCGGAAGAGCTGGCATGTCCGCGGGAAGATCTTAGTGTAGCCCGCAAAGAAGAGCTGCGCAAGCTTCTCCTAGACCAGGTGCAAACAGTGCTTGGGCTCCTCACAGGTACGACTTACTGCACTCGCAGCGTTGAAACAAATCTCCTCCTTCACCATCCCTCAGATGCTAACGAGCTTGCACATTCTGGGTTCAGTGAAGCACTGTGTGGGTGATGTAGTGGCTGCTCCTGTAGTTTGAGCACTCAACTGTACCCTTAGGCATTTGGGTCAGCTTACTGTAAGACAAGCTTGTGTGGCAGAGCAGCTGTATAGAGACGTATGTCCCCCTCTTTACGAAGAGGGATGGAGATTGTGTGTATAAGCGCTAGGTAATTTCTTTGGGCTCACTAAGAGAAGACAATGTTCCTTGTCAAGGCACTAAAGATGTGTTCTACAAAGATCTCCTGCAGTCTCCTGTATGTTTGTTCGATCAATCTGTCTTTTGGCAGGCTGTTCTGAAAAATCTCTCTTTGGCCAGGTATTTTGGAGAGCATCTGGGACAAGCACAGCGTTACTGCTGCCACTCCACCACCATCCCCGACGTCAGGAGACAGTGGTAAGGATGGCTAAAGCTACAAGATGATATTTCCATGTACTTAAACTTGCAATAACAGACATGGCTTCCTTCCTCTTGTAATAACCCTTTCCAAGAGCTGCTCATAGACCGACAGATTTCTGGTTGGAACGACAAACCTTACATGAAGAAGCAGTTTCCTCTGCAGGTTATGCCCCACCAAAAATGCCACCTCATTGAAAAGTGCACGTATAGCTTCTTGTTGTCCTTGGCTGGCCAAAAGCTTGCTGGAGTGTCTGCAAAATGCTCTGATGTCAGTGAGTTGGCATTGTCCTCTATGAACTTCAGCTGTAAGCTGAAATGCAAAAGCTAGAATGGAACAAAACTGAAGCCATTAGGTGGCTAGGACTTTGTGTATAGATATTGTGAAAGTTTGTTTTCTACCAATTTCTGTTAGTCTTGTGTGTGGGTGTTTATCTGATCTAAACTAAATTACATATATATTTCTTAGTTACCTTCAAAATAGAGAATATATTTCTGTGTCCTGGTACTTGGCGCACATTTCACTTACCCTGTTAAGGCTGAATAGGGGTAGAGATACAGGGTCCCCTCAGGCACAATGCTTGTATGGATGACTGCCAGTTTCTCTGGTGCCTTGATGTAACGTGGGTGGTTGTTGCATTCGGCTTGCCCAAGCATTGTCCAGCAGCATGTGGTGTCTTTGCTCCTGCTTCTGGGAAAACAAAGCAAGAAAAAATACCATGATGCAGTGAAATCAATATTTTGTTTCAAGGCTCTGATTTTTGCTCTGTCTGCTTTTAACAAGAAAAAAGAAGGGCTTAGGGTCTGGAAACCTGTAATAACCGGTTATGTGCAGGGAGAAGATGAATCCCTTGTGGATCTGATACTTGTTTCTCCAGGGTCACACTGATGTTGAGTTGTGCTTGGTGCAGTGTGTTCTGTGAGCTACCACAGTTGTATCAGGTACCTTTGTCTCAGCTTTGGGCCCTGAAACAGTTAATTGAGAGCTGCAGATCACTTCCTTGTGGCCAGATTGCACTAGTCAGCTGAAGACAGCTGCCTGTGATAAGCTTTTGTTAATGTTTTGGTTAGTGTTAAAACTTCCACGATGAAGTTTGAGTTGCAGCAAAATTTCAAGTGCTGCTCTCCTGTAGAAGAGCTTAAGACACTTTTGTATTTATATACAGAACATAAACTTAAATGGGAAGAAATATTTCCTTGGGTTTAGGGGAGAGGTGGATTTTGCTGTAGCTAGCAAAGGTCTGGAGAGAAAAAAAAATGATAACAGGAAAAAACAAAGCTTGTAGTATAACTTGGCAAGAATGAACAAGCCGCATGGAGAGGGCGGGAGTGCCGGCTTCACCCACCCTGGCAGCAAGAGCCTCAGTACTTCAAGGTGACGTTGAGTAAGACTGGGGTATTCCACCGTAACAAGCTGGTTTATGTTAGTAGCAAGTGCCTCGGTGGCCAAGAGCGATGCTGCATTGGTACAGAAGAGCTTGACTTTATGGGGGAGCCCGTGTGCGTGCTAGCAGACGCTGGTTAATGCAGGCACATCCGAGGCCGTGCCTGCGGGAGAGGGCACTGTGCGGTGAACAGCAGGTTCCAGAATTATCTTGGGACGAAAAGTTAACACTGCTTTGTTCTGAGGTGCTAGCAACTTAAACTGATACAACCCAGAAAATCTATTTTGTTGTCTTGAATTGTCATAAATAAAAACTAACCAGTGGAACAAATTCTGGGCTGTCAGTGGAAGCCTGTTGGAGGTGTCCTCAGAGTGCCTCGGTGAGTTGCTGGGTGGTGCTTATGCTGAGGCAGCTTTTCGTCCACCTGTGCCATCCCCTCATGGTGACTTTAGATCATATGTCTCAAAGTGCAAGTGTGCTGTGTTTCTGTGCCAGGTCTTTCCTTGCTCCCCTTCCAGGGAAAACAAACCAACCAACTCCTTACACAGCGTATTTTCAAGATAATTGCCAGTAATGAACACAACACTGACAGTTGCTTTAGAAGTTCAGGCTTAATTTCATTGGGTCCTGCCTGTGCAAAGTTGTTTATTTGAAACTTTCTCTTTTTTTTTTCTATGCTCTGCCTTAACTACTCTCTCTATGCTAAAACTGGTTGTGCTTCAAGTTCTGGAAGTCCAAAAGGAAGAGCACTGAGTGCTACTCTCTTGCCCACTGCTTGCTTACTTTCTGTATTTTGTGACGGACTCTTTCTTTATTAACTGAATGTCCCTTCGGTCACTGTTTGGTGATCCGATCGGTCAGAGGATTCACAGAGTGGAGTAAGAGCACTGATGGGGTTGCTGACATGGAGAACCTGTGGGGCTGAAAGCTGGACACGCAAGACAGTAGCAGCAAGTGGTGGTCGTGGTGTTGCACGTCTCCTGCTCTGTATTTGCAGGCAGAGGTGAATGTGTGATTGGATGGTGAACTATGGGACAAACAGGAGTTTGGTGAAACTCTGCCATTAAATTTGACACTGGAGATGTTAATTGTCGTTCTGTCCTTAAGGTTTGTGAAATCTCTGAACTGACCCAATCTTTTTACCCATGTAGTGTTATATTTGAGTCTTATTCATGCAGCAAAGAATTCCTGTTTACTGGTAACACTTAAACTTTTTTTGTTGCTTAGATGAGGCCACCACCTTCTTCTCTTTACATTCAGGTGAAATGAAAGGTGTTCCAGAAGGCAAAATAAGCTTCAGAGTCCCTATAAATGTTTAATATCTTCCATCAGAGCCAAAATCTCTTTAGGAACTTGGAAAGTCTGTGCTTCCTTTTTTTGCACAAGGAAGCAGAGTGAAATGGTTACTTGCGAGTCATGCGTAGTTTTTAAATAGCTCTTGAAGACAATGCTAAGCTCATTTCTCCTAGCACTTTGGCAAAGCAACTCTCATAATGCCCTATGTTGGGAAACATTTGAGTTATTGCATCAGTGTGGAATTTACTCAGCAGTAATCTCTCAGCCTCCAAATGTTGTCTTTGCATGATTTATAGCTCTTTACTTGATGAATCCCTTCCTTAGGCATATTCACTCACGTATGGTAAACAAATGAGTAATGTAAATGTTTGCTGATGCTTACTTCTGCAGAACTAGCCTGATCCCAGCCCCTCCCCAGGAGTTTTCTCCTTGTGCATGAAAGCAGTTGATCCTGTAAATTTATCGCTTGTTTGCAAAGAACCCAAAATTCCTTAAACTCTGAGATTCAGTAATTTAACTCGGTGCAAAGCACTCAGACCAACTGCTGTGAATTACAGAGACCTGATTTACAGTTTCTGGTGTTGATGGATTAAAAGATGAGAACCTTTGATACTCATTGATTTTTGTGGAGTTTGCTGGACTGGCGATTTGGAAGAAGCGTGTCTGCTTCTGTGAAAGCGCAATGCAAGCAGCTCTTGCACGATAGTATATGTATCATGAATGTTACCATGGGGGCTGTTCTAATACGAAGACTAAGTGCAGGGTTCTCCCATTCAGCTGAAGTAGCATGATGCCTTAAATTTCTGGAGCGAAGGAGAAAGAAATAACGATAAGGTATGGCAAGGAGTTATGAATTTAGTGATGTAAGGCATCAGTCTGGCTGAAAAATGGCGATTTAAGAGGAATCTGTTAACCATATATGCTTTTGAGTACTTTGAAAATAGCTCAGCAAATCATTTCTGTTATTTTCATACTGCTAGTGTCTTGGGTCATTTCACTTTCATAAAGAAAAAAAAAAAGAAAGAAAACAACTACTCAGGTTTTCTGGGGAGGACTCTAAATTCTGTAAAACAGCAAGTGCCTGTGGATTTCTAAAGGTGAAGAGATTATTTGTACTTAAGGAAGAGAAGTGTATTGAGTAACCTGGGGAAGGTGAATAGGTTTTCAGCATGTGGTCTGTGGAAGCCTGCGAGTTAGTGGGCAGCTTCTGTGGGAAGGGTAGCCTAGCTGGTGGCGTCTGCTTGGGTTTCCATAAAGCTTTCAAGAAGGCTTCTCGCTAAAAGCTTTTGAGAAAGCGAAGCCATCAGGGATAAGGGGAGTCTCTGCATTGCTGAAAAATAGATTAGAAGGTAGGAGGTAACAGATAAGTGGAAATGGCCCCTTCTTGGCGTGAGGGGGGAGGTCACCTGGGGGATACTGCTTGGGACTCTGCTCACGGACATACTTGCTAGAGACCTGGGAAAAGGGCTCAGTAGAGAGTCAAGGAGGCTTGCCGGCAATGCCAAGACGGTGAGAATAGCGGAAAGGAGGTGTGACTAAAGACTTGGAGGAAGATCTTGCATGTCTCTGGGCAAATGGGAGGTGAAACGCAATGCAGACAAGTATAACCTGCACTTGGGCAGGCAGAGCAATACTCATCTGATGCCAAATTATGGGCTCCAAAGTCGCCTTCAGGATGCAGGATCAACTTCTGAGTGTTAGGCCAGATCATGCTATAAAAAATTGGACTGGTTGTAGTCAGAACCAGGTAACTGCTGTGGTGCTGTATGGAATTAAGGTTCATGTGCACTTGAATAGTGGCTGCGGTTCCGGTCTTTCTGCATCAAGTAGAAATGAAAGCTTTGTAGAAAGGTAGTAAAGATAATGGAGGGTATTGAATGGCTTCCATGTAAGTAACAAGAAAAGTAGTACTCTTCATTCTCTCGAAGAAATTGAGAGCGAGGAGCTGCAATAGAAAGCTATTGAGTGACATGCAGAAGGTGAATGGAAAGAGATTCTTTTCCCTGTTTGGGTACAGGAGGTAGGAAGTGAAACTAGCAGCTGACAGGCCCCACACCATCTTTACACAACATATAGTTAAGCTGTGGAACTCTGCCACAGGCTGTTCCAAGTATTAAGTTTAGCCTTTTTTAAGGCTTTGGTTGGAGACTGGATAAATTCATGGAAGATGAATCCTGAGGCTGTGCAGAATTCCTTGAACCCCACCTGGCTCAGGAAGCCTTTGTAATATGAGTGATGGGAAGCTGAGGAGTGTGATCTGTGCCCACTGTGGGCTTTTGGTCACTGGGAAAAGGTACCGTACTTCCTACAGTCTGACTCAGTACATCTGCTTTTACGTCATCCACAAGCTGTCCTATGCACGCAGAAGCAGCTCTGCCAATGTTCATCATAACGTGCCTGTGCCAGCGGACTGGTGCAAGCTTACATCAAGGATGGTCAGCCTCATGGGGAGTGAATTGTATAATAAATTTGTAAAATACACCCCTTGGCATTGCTGTTGTCATCTGAATGAAATTCAGAAAGTTCCAAGATACAAAAGTCGTCAGTTCACCTCGGATAAATCTTTGTACGCGAACTTGCTGAGGGCCAGAGGCTCTGGCAGCTTTGCTTTATAGCTGGGGCTGGCAGCTGCAGCATTTGAAGGTAATCGCCCCGATTTCTGATGCCAGTGTGTGCTTTGTTTCTTAGGTGACCTGTTAAGTAGCCTGTTGCAGAGTCCCAGTGTGGCCAAATTACTGAACCAGCCAATCCCCATCCTGGATACAGAAAGTGAATATATATGTGCCCTGGCACTGGAGTGCCTGGCACACCTCTTCAGCTGGATCCCCTTGTCTACTAGCATCACCCCGTCCCTCCTCACCACCATTTTCCACTTTGCTCGCTTTGGCTGCGACACCCGCATTCGGAAGATGTCTTCTGTCAACGGCAGCAGCCAGAACTCAGTGTTGGGACAGGAGCGTGGCCGACTTGGCATCTTGGCTATGTCTTGCATCAATGAACTGATGTCTAAGAACTGCGTGCCTATGGAGTTTGAAGAGTATTTGCTGCGGATGTTCCAGCAGACTTTCTACCTCCTGCAGAAGATTACCAAGGAGAACAACGCCCATATGGTGAAGAGCCGGCTAGAGGAACTGGATGAAAGGTAAGAGCAATCGAACAGCTGAGTAGCTGTGCTAGGGCCTCTTGCTTTCTAAAGGACTGTCTTTATTATTTTGCGGTCATGCATGGTGTGTCTAATCGCCTTTTTTTCAGAGTACTGTGCTGGGGGAGACAGGCAGAAAGGTAGGTGCCCGCAGGTAAGGTTCTGGTAAGGGGCTGAGTTTGCTAAGGGACCGTGGTGGCACAGGTTTGTATTCTTTCCTGTCCTCTTCCTCCCCTTTCCCCTGTTCGTTACTGTCTGACTGCAGGTCTGAGGTGGCACAAGAGCTGAACCTGCCCTTCATTCAGTTGTAACAGAAAACAGAAGAGGCTCAGTGAGGTAAAGGCATTGCAGTATTCCCTTTCCTGGTCGGTATCTGCCTTCTCTGCTTAAACTCAAACATACAAAGAGTGGGTAGATATTCTGTGAGTCATGACTTGAAAGAAATAGAAGTAGTTTCCTACCCTTCATTGAGTTGTGACGGTTTCTGATTGCTTTTTCTTATTTTTACCTTTTTTTTATTTTTAAACAACACCAAAAGACAGCTGGGGGAACTGCATTCGCAGCAGCGGTGAGTGGCTCCACCGCAGAGGCTGTCAGGCGTGCTTGGCTGGTGGCAGTGGGGGAGTGGCAGCGCCTTGGGAGGCTGCGTATTGCCGTTGTCCACAACGTCGCTGCCCTCCTTCTTGCTGAAAACAGCTCGACTCTTTTGTATCGGATATCCCTCCTTGTAGGAGAGGAAGTGAGGCTTTTCGTTGTCCACAACGTCGCTGCCATCCTTCTTGCTGAAAACAGCTCGACTCTTTTGTATCGGATATCCCTCCTTGTAGGAGAGGAAGTGAGGCTTTTCTCACTGTCGCGTTGAGTGGCTGAATCCGTGTGTTGGGAGGGTGGGGGAGGCGGTTACACTTGGCTGCTGGCTGTTGGCAGGGTGGTGGAAGAGGTGACAGCTTGCTGCTGGCTCGCGGCGTGGGCCCGCTGTGCGAGTGTGTGCCATGGCAAGGCGGGCAGGCTGGTGCTAATGTCGGCAAATAGGCGCTTAGTGCCTTGCTACAGATACTGGATGATGAAATCAATTTCTGGTGCTGCTGTATAAAATATTTCTATTCCCAGATGGCTATCAGGAAGGCTTTTGAGCTTTTGGGTTTTTTGTTGTTGTTCTTTGATGCCACGTGGGAGAAAAAACAAATTTAGGAAAAAAAAACTATGGGTCCGTTTGTAGAGACAATGGGCAGGTTTCTCCGTAAAATTCCCTTTTTCCATATCTTTAGGTAAACATGTAATTTTGGGATAGTAGATCTCGATCAATTGTGACTTCTGTTTAACAGTGAATTCTACTTGCTCGTTTTTGACCAACTCGCTCCGACTTCAGTATCACTCACTTCCTAAAAATAAGACGTGTTCTAGTACGGTAGAGATCTGTCACCGTTTCAGACAAGATATGTGCACAGAGAGCCAGGGGTTACGCTCTGGATTTCAGAAAAGCTCTCCTGGAAACCCATAACCCCTTGTTTAACTTTGTTCTGGCTTCTACAGAAAACATCAGCAAGCAGCCTTCCCTGGCGAGGCTGTGGAGGGTCTGTAGTCATGTTGGCCTCCACAGAGACGGTGTTGCCATAGCCTTATGTTCCGCTCTTTAGGCATGTTACCCACAGAGACTGATGGTGTCTGTGATTGTGAGACCCCCTCTTATTCCTTGCTAAGGTCTGAAATAGGGATGTAACTAGGATTTTCTGGAGACTGCAGAGATCTAGCTGGCTTCTGGAGGAGTGGAGCTTTCTGAGCTGACTCTGTCCTCTCCATGGAAAAGGATGTCAGGATTTTCCTTTTGTCAAGTAACGGCATAGCTATACTTTTATGTCCAAAACTAAAGAACTTGCCACATGAAGTGTCATCCTAGCTTGGACTAACAAAATCCTAAGCAAAATTGGCACTGAAGAAACTATCTTCTGCAGATTGCCATCTTCGCAACCTGATCGCCCTGGGGTTGTCCTTTCCCCTCCTCTGGTGGTGCTGGTTATTTTTTGTTCTGTTACAAAGCTGGAGTGGTTTGGAATGGTTGGTGGTCCAGAAGGAGTAAGCTTAAACTGTCTTTTGCTTTATTTGTGTTTGGCTTTAGCTTGAAGATCCCAAAATGTGAGGTATGGCTAGTAAGGACACAAGCAACAGCGCGGTGGTTGCTGGAGGGGTTTTGGGACTGGCAGAGCTAGGGGCCAAGCAAGAATTTCACTTGTCTCAGATCAGAGCCTCTTTAGAAAAGAAAAATGAAAAAAATGGAAGGCAGTGTTTGGGTCTGGACCCTATATTTTTTTGCTAGCTGTACTTTTCAAGTGTTTGGTCACTGATCAGATGTTTTTAGTGATGACTTGCAAAGTAGGCAGTGCCAGGTAAAAAGGAAATGTAATCTTTTTGCATATTCAAAGCATTGTGTGGTTTTTGTAGGCTTGTAATAACTAACAGTGCTGCAGCTCTTTCTTAGCTGGCAATGCTTCTGGTCTGGAGTTAGTTCTCATTAGAAAGCGTGTGGGGTTTCCTTCCTCTCCACCCCCAAAAAAATCAAGAGTTTGCAGAGGGGGAGAGCAAGGCAGCGTGGTAAAACCAGACTGTTGAAGCATGTCAAACTTTGCCAAGCCTAACTTCTTCTTTAAAAGAAAAACGTGAAGTGCTTTTACACTTCAGAGCTCTTGCCATATGGGAAGGATGGGCTTCTCTGCACACATGCACCCCCCCACACACCTTGTCACTGGGTTGCCGGAGCTCTTGCTGGTTGTGTGTGATGTTGGAGTGTAAATCCTGTATACTGATGGAATATTTAACACTATTCTGTATAGGTAGATATGAAGATGATTTCTAACCTCGATGAAGCTCACGGTGCATAGGGCGTGATCTTATTCCACAATAAAAGCTTACTCCTCCATGGTCTCTGTAATTTTTTCTCCAGTCACATACTCAAGAACCCACCAGTGCTTGCACCGAGGTCGTGCTCTTGCTGGACTCCCTGAAATCTTGGTAGCAGGCTCCTTTTTGGATCTTCGCTTTGTACAGTCCCAAGCATTGAGTGGTCCCATGCTTTGGAGGAAGATTTGTCTTCATAGTCGATTTCAGTCACAAAAGCCTGGGCTCAGTTCAGAACTCTTTAGATAGTTGATCTGCACTGCAGAAGAAACCGTCCTTTCCAGCTCTCAACTGGCTCTCCCGCTACCCCGTGTACAGCTTTAACATGTGTATTGCTAACTCCTACATTAACTTCTTGCTTCCAGCTGAATTCCTCAGTGGTACAGTTTATTTCACTAATCCTATCTGCATCAGTAAGATGACCCTTGTTATTGTTATACTTATTTCTCTAGGGTGGGCGGGATCGTGCATATTTGCAGGCCTGATTGAACTTGGTTATATTTATCTGAATATTAAAGTTGCTTTTGACTAGACTGTCTTTTCTGCTGTTTCAGGTATTAATGGAATGAAGGGTTGCCCGTCCTGTAGGTAATTGTTGCAGGGCTTTTGATTTTAATTGTTCTGCTGGCTGTTAATTGTAACGTTCTTTTTAATGAAAGGATTTTGAGTGAATTTTATCACTGTTTAAATGAAATTGCTTTCCCTTGTGGCATCCTTCGTGTTTTCTCAGTCGTGTTTTCTTCTCTCCCTTGTAGCTACATTGAGAAGTTTACGGACTTTCTCCGTCTCTTTGTGAGCGTCCACCTGCGAAGAATTGAATCCTACTCCCAGTTCCCAGTGGTTGAATTTCTGGCACTGTTGTTCAAATACACTTTTCATCAGGTACAGCCTGCAACGTTATTTTTTTCCTCTGTTCTCTCTGTTCTGTTGTCTCGAACAGCAGGGGTAGCTTGTTCTCCCCAGTGAAGTGGATACCTAAAGTCAGCCCAGAAAAAAGCAATTATCCTGTCTTGCTGGCTCTTCCCTGGTAGTGCTGGGGACCTGGAAATGTCTTAATGTGCTCTTGGATTTAGTTGGGGACAGCGGTCACATGTAGTTACCTTGCAAGAACAACTGCTCTGGTGTCTAACTTTGCTTCTGCTTTTATTTTGTTGCTAGTGCTTGGAACGGACGATGTTGTCTGGAAAAATTTCTCTAGCTTGCTTGGTTTCTGTTTTTTCTCCTGAGTTTCCTGCTTTTACTGTATCTGAGGCTTTCCTTGTAACGTTTAGGTTCAGTATTTAAAAAAAACCCAACCCTGTGGCTTTTGGTACGTGTTGCCTTGCTGTAGAAGCTGTCACAATGCAGCTCAGCCCTATTTACCACCATAGGTGAAGAATGGCAAGGAAGCAGATTTATAAAATGCAAGAAGTAGATGCAGCAAGCCATGGGGTGTGTTAATACTGAGACCACCCTTGCAATTGCTGGCTTCCCACCCTTGTGGAAAAGCTCTTGCTCACCTTTTGACAGCTATGAATTGCTCCAGTGACTGCCTAGAAATTTTTCAATAACGCAAGAAATTCTTCCCATAGGTGGAAGTGCGTGCTAACTTATATTGTCATTGTGTGAAATCAATCTTGCTATCGCTCATGATATTCATTGTGAATTTTGGTGTATTGCAGCCTAGCTGACTAGCAAAATTAAAAGTCGTCTGGCAGACAAAGAAGCAGTACTCAACAGGTAAGCAGTGGAGAAGCTGTCAGGGTGTGACAGCTGCAGAGACTTCATGGCCACCATGGACGGACTGTGAAAAACAAGCTGTTTACTCCGAGTTCACATGTGGTTGAGTCCTTTCTGTTTCTAAAGTAGAGTACAAGTAGTGTAAACTTAAGTGTTTCATGCACATTCATTCAAAAGAATTCAAATGGAGCAAACTAGGGCAAAAAAGTGTCATTTATGTTGTGTGTGAATCTAGCAGTCAGAGGAATAAAGCTTTGCAGTCTGAAATAGAGCTGTAACACACTTTAGTGAATTGTGGAGGACATTTCAGCACATACTAGAGGAGGACACCGCAGAGTAACTTGCCTAGTAAGTGTTCACACAGCTCATACAACTAATTAATGAATTAGGACATTTTTTATTTAATTAGGATTTTAAAATTCCTGTTTAAATGAAGGATGTATTTCTGAGAAATAGTGGTGAAGCTCTGTTTGGAAGTTAAAAGTTCCACTTGCTTACCTCTGATGCTGGTTGTGTGTATCAGTTGCAACAGTGGCTGGCAGCTCTTCCTTCGTAGGTGCTGGCTCTTGACACGGGTGGCTCTCCTTTGATAAAAGTCTCTTTGCTGCATTTTGAAAATCTGGTGAATATATTGGTATCTTGAGGCTTGTGCCATATTACGTTCCACTAAGCGCAGAAGGAAGCTGCTTTCCTTAGACCACACTAAATATAAGTGGTTGGTTTTTGAAAGACAGCCTGGCATCGTAACCGCAAAGAACAGATGTGTAACTAGCTTACACCAGACAGCACTCTTCCTTTCAGCTTGGGAACTGTGGGATTTTTCATTTCTCAAGCAGTAGGTGTTTGCATCTGACCTTTGTTAGAATTTGTTCCTTATTTGCTGCTCTGCCTAATGCTGTTGAACTCTGCCTTGGCGTTCTGCTCTTTCTTCATCTGGCTGATGTGTGTGTAACGTGTGTGGTCTTCTGTCAAATAGTTTGTTATGGGGAAAATTGAAGCAAACAATAACTGTCTCAATTGCAGATGTGTCAGACTATAAACAAACAACCAAAAAAATCATGTAAGGGCTTGAAGCTTGTACTGTTTTGGCAGAACTACTTGTCGTTGGTGACAGCTTCTATAGCTACAACTTCCTGCGTGCTCTTGGATCTGTAAACACTGCAGCTTGACAGTCTGGGAGGGGTTGCGCCACAACAGCCCAGATGAAGTTTCCTGTTCTGTGGTTTAGAAACTTTGCATGTTGTACACAGTACAACTTTTACTACAGGATAAATTGCCAAAATGCAGAGTTGTGTCATGTGAAAACGGAAAAGATGGTACTTCGGCCACCTTGCACAGACAGCTTTCAGCTGCTGAGCTGGTGACACAGCTGACTGGTCTGACACTTGGATTGCATCACGCTCTGCATCTTTGTTGGTGTATGCTAATGCCTAATTTTCCAGCCTGGTCTAACCTAGGAAAGAGCATGACTTCTTGCATCGGACCCCAGCTGTTTTGAGAGGAGGTTTTTAAAACAAACTGTCAAACCAAACCGCCTTGGAAATCCCAGATTTTGGTGTTGTGTCACCAGGAATGATGGCATGCTCCGGTGGCTCTGGGCTGATTTTGCAACTTGGCGTTATTCTTAGGTGTTCAATGAGGAGGATGGTCTTCTGTGCTCTGTAGCAGCTTCGTAGCTCCGAGAGGCGAAAAGATACTTTTCAGTGACATGCCTTTAGTGTTACAGTACAAGTAGAAGTGCTGGCTTTGTTTTGGAGGACAAGGGCCTGAATTATTTGGCCACCAGTGTAAGGAAAGAGGATAGCAGAACAAATAGCCTCAGGAGCGGTCCCCTTTTGAAGTAGGCAGGAATAACTGCACCATTGCATCTGTTCGTCATTCCCTGCCCAAAAAGCAGAGCATCAGACAAGCTGCTGAGGAGCAGTTTAGCAACAAGGAGCTCTTGGTGCCTCCTGTTCTTGTACATCTGCTGTTATTCCTGGCAAGCCACTCCTGCCTTTCCCGTTTTGAACTCTTGGGCTGCTTCTGTTGCTAACAGTTCTCCCTTTCCCTTTCAGAGGTAGAGGGATATCAGATATTACTATGGTTTTTCCCTGCAGGTAGCTTATGACCCAAAGCAACATGACACTCATAATCCCAGGATCTGCTTGGTGTTTCCTCAGCAAACCTGTGAAGCTGTGCTGCAGGCTCTTTGCAGCAGCTTGCTCTAAACTGTCATCTGTTTTACCTGTCTCCTTCGCTGGAAGGACTGGGGGTGCAGCAGTCTCTGCAGAACTGTTTTGTCAGACTCTTGCTCTGTTTTCTGCGTGGTCGTAGGTACGAAGACGCGTTGGTTCTGTTGCTGACAGAGGTGTTGAATCGGATCCAGTTCAGGTATAACCAGGCACAGCTGGAGGAGCTGGATGACGAGACACTGGATGATGATGTAAGGAGCAGAGTTGAACAAGGACAGCTGCAGGTCCAGATATTAACTCTTGAACTGGTAACACCTAGATTGTCTTTCCCAGAGCTTGTACAGGCTAGACAACTGCTTCCTCACTCCATTCTGCGCGGGGTTTGAGGTTTAAAGCAGCGTGAAATGCTATTAACAAAAATGTGTTTAAAGTCACACTGAAAGGATATGACCTTTGTTTTTAACTTTGTTCGGGGCGGGGGGGGGTGTGGAATATAGATACTTATGATTATCAGAGGCATTAGGTGTCCATGTCTGGTTGCTTTGGAATTTAGATGCTGAAATATCTCTGAGACAAAAGCTTTAAGCTGTCTGTATTGTTGGTGTTTTTGTTTAAGCTTCTATTTCCGAAGTCGGTATTGGTAAACATAATCGCGCTGCTGATAAATGTAAAAGTGGAGTAGATGGCCGAAATGGATGAGGAAGGGCAGGTTTTTCTGCATAACCGGTGCTTGCCTTCTGAGCAGCAGCTGTGCTTTAGGAGCTCGTGCTTTCTTGCTCCAGGGAAACATGCTTGCACACACAAAGCATGAGTTGGTAGAATTACTCTCTGTCAGATGTCTAGCAGCATATGAGAATTGTAAGAGCAGTAGCTCTTCAGTATCCATGTGCCTGCAAAAGCCAGGCTTTGGAAAGAAGCTAGCTAGTCCCAAGCGTCAATTAAAACCTCTTAGTCTACAAAAAGCCATCTGTTTCCCTCTGGAAGTGCTGTGCTTACCTTGGTGTTTCTTCCCATAGCAGCAGACCGAGTGGCAGCGGTACTTGCGCCAGAGCTTGGAAGTGGTTGCGAAAGTCATGGAGCTCTTGCCAACTCATGCCTTCTCCACACTAGTAAGTTGTTATCCAGACCAAAAGCACAATGTGAAATGAGCACCAACTGCTGGAGTTTGGTATAAGCTGTTTGACAGAGGCCAAAGCGCCAAACAGGTAGGGAGATTTGGGTTTGGATGCAAAAAGTTGGCAAGGAGGAGACCAGAAATAGAAGGAAAAAGCTTGGGTTTTGGCTTTGTCAGTTTTCTTGGTGTGTATTAAAGAGGGTACTTCAGTGAGCATCTGAGTCCTACTTGCTGGACACTAAGTTCTTTAGAAGTTCCCGCCTTTCAAAGTGTAAATATTTGGCAGCAATCCTTCATTGCTGTTTATCTTGGCCTTCTGTTAGGAGGCAGCGCTGTGAATTGGGCAGATGAGTGTCACTAGCAGGGTTTTAAGGAGAGTGAAAGCTTTGTTTAAATGAAAGGGTGGATACAGATGCTGAAAAGAGCGCCTTGGACAGCTGGTAATTTTATCTGATAAACAGAGAAGTGCTTCTCTCCAGCTAGTGCCACTGCTGTTGCTAGAATCAGTGCTGTAAAAGTTGCTTGGGTTTGTAGTGCTAATGTTTTTTTTTGAGGAGGAGATCCTGAGGCTGTAAGCCAGTGGAGCCCAAAATTCAGAGCAGTTGGTGCCTTTTCTTTGGGTGAGAAGTGCTAGTATAGCAGTGGGATCTCAAAGCAAGTCTGTTAATCTTGCTGGAGATACTGCATACCTTGGGACCATATTCCCAAGAAGCAGAGAAAATTGAGCTGCTGCAGAGACAGAAGATACCTGACCTGCTTTTTTGATTGATATTTTTATTTATTTTATTGATAGGACAAGGGGTAATGGTTTAAAACTAAAAAAAGGGTAGATTCAGACTAGATATAAGGAGATATTTTTTACGAGGGTGGTGAAACACTGCAGTGGGTTGCTCAGAGAGGTGATTGATGCCCCATACCTGTTAACATTCCAGGCCAGGTTGGACAGGGCTCTGAGCAATCTGAACTGGTTGAAGATGGCTCTGCTTGCTGCAGGGGGGGTGGGCTAGATGGCCTTTGAAGGTCCCTTCCAACCCAAGGCATTCTATGATTGTATTTAAAAAACGTTATGGCTGAACTAAGTGCTAAAGCATATGACTCAAAACCCTGAAGTAGTGAACAAAACAGTCTTTACACAAAAGTAGAAGTTCCTCTGCAGAGTGATGACATGGCGTGAGTCAGCAAGAGGCACGCAAACGCAGCAGCTGTTTCAGTGAGCGCGGTGAGCATATGGGTCATATGGTGAAGAGCGTGTGGCTTCCTTAAAGTAACACATTAACATGAGGAAGACTATCTGGTTTTTTTAAATAGTTCTCCTCCTGCAGTTATACGAAGGCGTTCAACTGTTAATCAGGCGCAGCCTGTTAGAAACTTGACAGCGAGTACTTTCCTTGAGCCCTGTGTTGGTCCGTTTTTGTATGCTGGATAATCTGGGAGGTGCTCCAGCAGTTTCGCGTGCTGTTCACAGCAGTCTGCAGTGCTGTTGAATGCAGTGGCTGGTCTGTCAGTAGCAAATAATGAAAACAATGTACAGTAGCTGCCATGACTCTGTCCCATGCTGGAAAATGAAAGGCTGCATTCCGCATGCTGGTGTTCTGGGTGCAGCCTGCAGCTTGCCGGCAGAGTGCTGCAGTACTTCCCTTCTGTACTCTGTTGGAGGCACCCAGCTCAGCTTCTTTGGTTGAGGAATCTTTTTGATAGCTGCACTTTGAGAAGCTGATGCTTACGGGTGAGGTGGATGCAGCACAGGCTTCCTGCGCTACAGGCTCTGCCTTTCTCCTGCGCGGTTTGCTCTGGGTTATACACCCATCTGCGTATTCGTACTGGTGGCATGCTGTGCCATCACTGATACTTGACAGACCATTATCTTGTTAGGCTGATTGCTGGTATTTGTGGGAAAAGAACTACCACAGAGAAGTGCCTTCAGGGTGGTGATCTTTATTGTTTTCATGACAGCTGTCAAGACATGAGAAGCTATGGCACACAGGATCAGCCCAGAACTTAGCAACTTGCCTGTTCTCCAAATCTCTCTTTGAAGGCACTAGAGAGAAATAAGAGAGCTGTGCTCTGAGTAATTAGTAGTTGGGTATTAACTGTCTGACAAGCCCCAAATTCATGCTTATTTCTTGTCTCTTCTAGTTTCCAGTTCTACAGGATAACTTGGAAGTGTATCTGGGACTCCAGCAGTTTGTGGTCACTTCAGGGACAGGTAATAACCGCCAGCCAGCACTGCAGTCCTCACTGTTTGAGTAGCTAGTAAAAAAAGAAAAGCTCCACTACTCTAGATTGCAAAAACATTCTACTCTAGGCCTGCTTTGGTGTTGCTTCTTCCATATTCCATTGAGGAGCTCAACAGATATATGTTGCCCAATGGCTCAGTAGGCAAACTGCCATAGCAGACAAAAATCTAATAATGTGATTTATTTTTTTTGTTGGTGTGATTCTTCCCTTGTTCTGGTACTTGAAGATACCATATGTGTTAAGAACAGGTATGCAGCATCAAATACTACAGTAACATGCATGGAGAATGGTTACTTTTTTTCTCACACTGAAACTTATTTCAAGAAAGATTGCGCTCCTGTTTGCTTTGGACTTAAGTCTGGTGCGAAGTTGTCCACCATGGGAGCATTTTTATTTAGGCTTCAATTAAAACAATTACGAGTGGATGAGAAGATGAAGTATTTAGGACATAGTAGTAGTTTCTGAAGACTTACCTAGCTGGTGTTTCAGGAGCTTTCATGTCTAAAGTAGTTTACAAAGATACCAGTACTCTCAACTGAATAAAAAGCATAAGCTTTTTTGTTGCTCCTTCCTGAGAAACAAGGAAAGTAGTAATAGTGAGATCTGTATGAGAGAAGATTGTAGCTAAGGTTATACTTAAGCTGTCTGGTATGACCAGTAAAGGAATCTGTTACATCTTCAATACTGCTATACATGGCAGAATGCCGACTGGTGTATAGACAGTTCAGGAAAAAATAATTCCAATTTTGGGATCACTTCAGGCCTAGGATAAGCAATGTAAAGGGTTTTAATGCTGTAGCAACAGTCCATGTTGGAAGCTGTCATGTGGACGGGCTGTTTAGCTGGTGGGTCAGAAGTAGCTCAATGCAACTTGGGCTTCAGAACTGGATGATAGTGTGCTGGTGCCAATGGTACAAAATGGCAAGCTAGTTGACGATAACTCAATCCAAGATTTAGTATAGGCAGTGGAAAGAAAAACAGATTTTTCTTTGAAATGTTGCATTACAGAACATATTTGCTTTTTTAGTAAAAGATCTGGAGACCAGGTATACCCAACCGAGCGGTGTGGCAATTGCACAGGTAATAAGGCTGGCAAATCTAGTTATCGGTATATTTCTTGTATCTGAGAAATATGAAAGTAAATAACCACACTTCACATCAAAAGCAAATACACTCTTGTTCCAAATATGCTTCTGCTGCTGGAACCCTGCTTGCACTGTAGCCAGCAGAGGGAGTAGCGACCTTCTCCACAGAGCTGGGATGGCTGTTCGGGGCCAGCGGATAACCAGAAAGGTTGCTGTTTATATAGGTATCAGTACCGAACAGAAGGAAATAAATGAGTAAAAGGTTGAAATAGTCGGTAACATCTGTTTCAGCCTTGAAAGAGGAATTTGAAGTGTGGCGGTCAGAACAGTTGAACTTGTCTTACTCAGTTTGAGTATTTCAGTCACTGGGACAGTGCTCCGATTTGAACTGTGCCCCACTGCTGAGCTAATTTAAGAAGAATGCTTGTAATGTAATTAGAATAAACTTTGCATTTCCTGTAGCTTTGTAATTAGGTTTCCTGTCCCAAAGAGCTGTATTTATTAGTTACAAAATTACGTGGCTTTTCTTGCACAAGGTTTTTAAAGTCTGAGTTTTCAGACTACTAGGCTTTTAGTCAGTGGCTGTTGGCACAAGTGATTAGTGACACTTTGGTCTCTTGGCTTCGTTGCTAATGAACCACAATGTCATTTCAGGTCACAGGCTGAACATCACTGCGGAGAACGATTGCCGCCGGTTGCACTGCTCCTTGAGGGACCTGAGCTCCTTGCTGCAGGCCGTTGGCCGTTTAGCAGAATACTTCATAGGGGATGTGTTTGCTGCCAGGTTCAATGATGCTCTTACAGTGGTGGAGAGGTAAGTGGGGGGGCAGTGTGCTGGGACAAGGAGCAATTGTCACCCCTGCAGTGAGTGTGAAAACCAAGGTTTCTTTCTGCCTCCCCTTGTTAGGATTAAATTGAGATATGAAGAACTCAATGGCCAGACCTTAATTGTTACATTCATCAGTGCTAAGCTTCCCAGATGGCTTTCTAAATCTTTAACCAAAGAAATAACTAATAGGAGAGATTAAATAAAATCAGTCACTTTAAAAGACTGAGGTACTTATTTTCCAGCATCTGCGTTTGTGATGCAAGGAAATGTCATGTAGAGTCTGATTACTTCAGAGTTGTAGCTGTCAAAGCTAAATCACCACAATCTCTTTTCTTAAATGAAAAGCTGGGTAAAAACTGAAAGGCAAATGTCATTTGATTCTTCCCGTCCAAGAAACTTAATCAGCCCGTAGTTGCAAATTACAGGATTTCAGGGCTTTATACTGCTGCTTCGGTTATGTTTTTTCATTTCCACGCAGGAACACCGTACTTGTTCCCTCTTATCACAAACAGTGAAATAGGCTCTGAATTATTTTCAACTAAATGGTCTAAATCTTGTCTACGTATTAGCTAAGTATTGGCACAGACTTGCCGAGAGCTGCGTTCGGATAAGATGTTTGAGCAGATTTGTACATGTGTATATGCATCTCACAGTCCCGTTACCATATACGTGTTTGCTTCCAGGTTGGTAAAAGTAACGCTATACGGATCCCAGATTAAACTGTACAACATCGAAACTGCAGTACCGTCTGTATTGAAACCTGACCTTATCGATGTGTGAGTATCATCTGTATATACGCTGCAAATGCCTGTATCCAGATTCAGTATGTGCACGGGGCGGTGGAAGCATTAGATCTCCTGGATCTGGCGCTCTAACCACTTGCCTGGCAAATGTTCTGAAGAGCACATCTCTCCAGGGATTGCCAGCTAACCGGGAGGGCGCTTTCTTTGAACTGTTGAAGGTTGAGGCTGCTGCCAGCATGCTGGGCCACTGTTTCCTCAAATTGACGTACTGTGAGATTATTTAAAGAAAAATAAAATTGTGGTGAGAAGTAAAAGTGCTAGTTATATTAGCTCTGAAAGCAAACTGTTATTTTGCCCTGTACTAATGGCTGTAAAAGCTTAGTTCTTTTGCAGTATAATTAAAAGGTAAAATAAGTGTTACAAGAGTGGTATTTTAAGAAATGGATCCACTGTCGGTATGTAGTTCCACTTTATGGATTTCTTGCTGACAAAGTCAGATCTATGGCTCAGGTAATAGGTTTGGTTTTTTTTTCCCTAGAACAGGGTTTTGAGTCCTTGGCTTCCAAGACAAATGTATGCCTTCCAGCTATACAGGCTGCTTCTGAAACAAATGAATGCCTTCGATCCAGACGTTGACATTAAGTGTGAAATCTTGATGCTGCTAGTAATAGAATAGCACTCTGACAGCCTTTTAGAGACCTTCCATTCTTAATGGCTGTGTAGTACAAGCCTGTTTCCTGCCAGCTGGCGTTGTGTGAGCAGAATTTAAGGTTATGCTTTTCAATGCATCAGGCTCTGCTAGTTTGTGACTGCATGCGTAGCAGCTCCATGAAAACATGTACTAGATTTTTATCCTATAGGTCCCTAATAATCCCAAGTTACTAGCACTGAGTTTTGTGTAGATTATTTTAAACAAGAGAAGGGAAGAGACAATTAAAAGAACATAATCTGAGGCTTTTTCCATGATCTCTTAGTGAAGGCTTTTCACCCTTTTCTCTGTCACATGTTCCTGGAGAAACTTGTGATCTGTTTTCTAAGGCTGGCATGAAAAGGTACATTTGGAGAACACATGTCTATGTGATCCCAAAGAAATGTCCTGACTAAAAAATCTTGATACGACGCTGTGCCAAAAGTATAATTATGAAGTGTGATATAATGAACTGTTTGATTGATGAAAAAATTGACCTCATCAGCTTATATCTTTGAATTAATACTGTTGCTTAATAGATGAGTCCACTTAGAGCACACCTTTAAATGTGCCTCGAATGTACGGGGTTCAGGACAAAGAAAAAAATTTTAGGCTCTGTAGCTAACGTAATCTCAAGGAATTAACATGTTCTCAGTTAATGGAAGAGGGTGAAAGAGTTTAGGCAAGAAATATTCTAAGGGGGGAGCACAAAATATCAAGGCAAAGTGTTGATTCAAAAAAACCCTCTTTCAACCTGCTGTTAAAGGTGAGATTTTTTTTTTTTTTTAAATAGACTTCCTTATTTTTCCCACTGTGCATAAAGCCACTGCACTTGCTGACAGAAACAGAGGTGTTCAGGAGCTGGCTGATGCAGACCTGGGAGCTGCCTACTGTAGACGACTGAGATCTTGAATGCAGTCACTGTGGTGGGGGCATGTGCATGTGGGAGAACCTTTATTTTTGGAGAGAATGTCGGTGTTCATGGAGTACTCTTTTCAATAAAATCTGCAGAATAGGGCTTGGTTAGATAGCATCCTTGGGCAAGGTTTTATGGACGGACAACTGTGACTAGATCCCAGAAGATTTCTGTAAGGCAATTACCTTCCGTCCCCTGTTGCCCGTAATCAAGTGGCCCTGTGGAATGAATCTTGTGCTGCGAGACTGGGGAATACTAGAAGTGATTGTCATGGCACTTGCTGTTCTGCAGTCTTTCCAGCTGTGTGAATTTGGGATTGCCTTCCGTTTTTCTGCCTGTTTCAGCAGAGAGCTGAGATGTCGCAGAATCAGAATGCGACATTGCTTCTAGCTTTAATAACAGCACAAGACTTTAAACAGAGATTCCAGAGCTCTTCAGGTGCTGAAATACGATGTTAAAGAGATCTGAAAAGGGCTAAGGATGCTGTTTTGCAGTCTTTACCTAATGCTGTCTGGAACAACAGTCCTCTCAAGCTAGTGTAGTACAACTGTAAAGCTATCTTCTCATCACTGCCAGTGAAACTTGTGTTATGGTTAAGTTAGACTACTGAATGAGTTTTAAAGAAAATACCTGCCAGCTTTGAGAATGCCCGTGTTCTTTCCCAGGATGCTGCTGAAACCGCCCACCGTGCTCAGGACTTGTGCCCTTCTGCGGCTGTCCTGCTTTTTGACCTGCTTGACCTTTTGTCCCGTGTATGTATCTTACCCTTGCTCTGCTCCTCCGCAGCCACGCTCAGTCCCTGGCAGCGCTGCAAGCCTACGCGCACTGGCTCGCACAGTTCTACAGCGAAGTTCACCGGCAGAACCCGGAGCAGTTCATCTCTCTTGTCTCCACTGCTCTGGAGGCTATCACACCCCTCATCAGCTCTAAGGTATCTTTGTCAGTGCTGGGCTGAGGCTGGGCTTGCACCTAAAGCCTGAGGCTGCTGTTGTGTTCAGGTGTTTAATGGTCCGCTCTGGACCATGCTGTGGCTCCTAGTGTGAACTGGTTTGTGAGAGCTGGATGTCTGACTTCCAGAGCCACAGCAAACGTCTCGCGTAAGGTGAGACCGAGAACAATTCTAAATAGTAGGACTGTAGGACAAGCTAATATGAGAGTAAGCAACTTATAGGCATATAAACTCAGTCTAGTGGCTTGAAAATGGGGAAATTTCTCTCTTCCATAGTATTAAGGGAACTGACCGTGCTCTGGTTAGCAAATAAATACTAGAAACTGTCTTACTTGCACAAACCTGGTAGTGGCAGCTTGCTGTGCTGTCTGACAGTGGTGTTGCACCGCCTGGTTCTGTGTGGTGGTGTTACTGGACAGCCTGACCGCGGGCCCGCTCTGTTTCAGGTGCAGGAGAAGCTGCTACTGTCTGCATGCCACCTGCTTGTCTCTTTAGCCACCACCGTGCGACCAGTGTTCTTGATCAGCATCCCAGCAGTACAGAAAGTGTTCAACAGGATCACGGACACTTCCACGCAGCGGCTTCCTGATAAGGTGAGCTGTCTCAAATGTGATTTAATGTAGATTAGATGCTTGGGAAGCTGTGTCTCAGTTCTTAATGTGGCAAGATATAACCTGAAAGAAAAAAAAAAAAGGGGGGAGTGGGGGGCAAAGTTATCTCTGTACTGTGGATATTCAGGAGTCCCAGTGATACAGTTTGTCAGCAATGAGCTATTTCAAGCAACAGCATAAGGAAAAAAGACATGATTGCAACTCTTCAATCTTTGTCCTTTCTCATTTGCTGACACAGTCCCGGAGTCTGTGTTGTCTCTACAGTATTGACATCTTGGTTCTGACATACAGAAGGAGTTTTCTGTGAAACTTAGGTTAGCATTCCACATAACTCATTCCAAGTTAGTATTGATATCACAGAAGTACTGAAAAGCTACAGTGGCTGGGGGGGGATGGTTGTATTGTGTGCTGGCATGGAGGCATAAAGTGCTGTACATGCATAGAAGCTTAGTGTGTAAACCAGACAAGGAGTAATGGAAGTGGTATCATCTTTGTTTTAGAGATGTGAAGAACAGAGATTTATTGTCACAGGGAAGGGCTGACAGAGCAGGGGGCTGGTTCCAGCCCTTCAGTGATGGAGCTTTGCTTGTCTCGCACCTTGCAGAGCTGCTAGATTTCGCTTGGGCTCACCTTCTGCTATTAAACTCTTCCCTCGAATAGTGAGCGCTGCTGGGCATTGTGCACAGCTGTAAGATGTCGCTCCAGGGTTGTGCACTCACATAGAGTGAATAGCAGCCACGGCAAAACTCTGTCTCTTTGCCTAACGACTCGTTGCTTCTAGGCCCAGGTGCTGGTGTGCAGAGCGCTGTCGAATGTGTTGTTGCTGCCCTGGCCAAATCTTCCGGAGAGCGAACAGCAGTGGGCAGTTCGCTCCACCAACCACGCCAGCCTGATCTCTGCCCTCACGAGAGAGTACCGCCAGCTGAAATCCAGCGCGATCTTGCCACAGAGGAAGGTGCAGCTGGAGGACAGTGAGTAGCAAGCCTCTCAGTGTGTGCCATCTTCTGACGGCTGCAGTGCAAACTGCTGATAGGCATAGTTAAGCTGGTTTTCTAATATTTTTTGGCTGAGAAACTGTATTTACTGTATGGGGGGACAGGAAGGAAAGGAGCAACTTATTTTTCTTTTTTTAGTGACCCTTCTTTTATGGGTGTGTGAAGGGCACTCTCCCAGGTGCCTGTAAACTCTTCCACCAAAGTACTGTATTCCTCAGGCATGCAGGGAAGGTGGGATCGAGTTTGTGGTAAAACTTCGAATACCACCAATTGCGTTAGGAGTACTTAACAGCCTTGTGCTGGGACAGCCACGCTACGGTATTAGAAACATTGACTGGAGGCAGCGTCGATGAAGATTATAGTTATAAAAACTTCAAAGGGAAAATAAGAATTTCCTCCAGACTTGGGAAGCACTGCGGAGGGTGTATATATGTGAGAGGAGAACCCAGAACTGATGGGGTCCGGGGACCTTTGGAAGCTTCTGTGTATGTTTTGGGATTGCTTTTGGGTGTGTTTCTCTGTTTTCTGAGAACCACTTTAAAAATTGCTCGGAAGTATGCAGTGTCACAGCTTCTGGCAAACCTGATGTGAGGTCAGCTGTGTGCAGGGAGGGAGCAAGGGAGAGGGGGTTTGCTCCTCATGAGAAGAACATCAGCAGACTGCTCATGTGGGCTGAACAGAGCTGGCTGAGCTCTCCTCCCAACATTTGGGTTAGCTTACACAGTGATTGTGTATGATTCCAGTTGTTACTTTCAGAAATGGAAATCTGCAGTGTATTTTGCTGCCATAATGTGCTGCTTTTTTCTTGGCTGGTGTTTCTTTAGCATGAGCGTATTGCAGATAATATCATTTATGGCTTACCTCAGTCTATGCACCTTAGTAGTTGAGCAGTGGGTGCATCTGTAAGAAGGTAAACCTGTATAATTAGGAAAGTAAGTAGCCACAGTGACCTAACTGAACCTGTTTAAACATTTAAAACGTGAATATGCACTTGGGAACACTTTTTACTCCAGCCTGGGTTTAGCATATATGCCACCATGTCGGTTGTTTTAGTTACCATGTGTATGAACTTGACGTCTGTATTTCTTGCCTCTGATCAGTAGCTTTGACACACAGAGGAAGTATCACCTCTCTTATTTTGCAGCCAAAGTGATCATCCACCAGACACTCAGCGTTTTAGAAGATATTGTAGAAAGTATCTCTGGAGAATCCACCAAGTCTCGACAGATCTGTTATCAGTCGCTGCAAGAATCCGTGCAGGTCTCACTAGCCCTCTTCCCAGCTTTCATTCATCAGTCAGGTATAACCATAGGACAGGCTTTAATGCTGTGAGTAGCTTTATGACCTACAGATAACATCCCAAGTCCGTCAGCATAGGACCATGGTGGTGTTCATGTGAAGCGTGGGGGTTTGCAGTGCCTAAGTGTAATGTCAGTCTGTACTTCTGGGCGGGCTGGGCTGAATCAGAGCGGGAAAGGGAGCTCTTCTCTGCCATCTAGGATGCAGGCGTGAAGGTTTGTCACGGTTCCAGAAGAAGGAGATGCCTTGTGTTATGCTCAGTAGTGAAACAAGAATGGAGCTGATCCTGAGCACAAAAAAAAAGCATTAAAATGCCCTGTCTGGCCATGCTTGCTGTTTACATTCTCTCCAGAAGCTTGAAGACAAAGAGGAGCAGATCTCATCAGATTAGGTCAAATGATGTGGGTGGCTGGTTGTTTTTTTTTTTTTTCCCTGTAAAGAAAAGGCTCCTGAGATACAACCAGGACCGTTGCTTGGTAACCTTGTGGCCAGAGACTTACATTTTTTTATCACATCAGGGCAGCTCGAATGCCCAGGACTACAGCAGCTTGTCTCACGAAGAGCAAGGCATTCCAGGAAAACTTTTGTAGTTAGGTGGGATTTTCTCAGTGAAGCAGGTGTGGGGGAGGCAAAAGTAGGTTGAAATGCAGAGAAGATCCAAGACAGCAAGCTGATGCTGCGACTCCAGTGACCTGTTGTTTTCAGTACAGGCTAGCAGCCTCATGCAGTTGCTAATTTTTGGCAATAAAAGGCTGTATGAAGGAGGAGTTGAGCAGCTTCAGCTTACTGTGGTTCTTCAGTAGGGCACGTCGGGACTGATAAAGAATTAGCTGCGGTGCTGATCAGCTAACTGCACAACCACGCGCTGAGAATGACTTCTGAAGTCAGAAGGGTCTCTTCAGTTCCTGCCACAAAAAAAAAAAAGCAGCTATGTTCTGTCTCCTTGCCATCCCAAGCCGTGTAGCTGTTTTGGATTTCCTTGTTTCCTGTTAACCCTGTACAAGCAATGAGCAACTGGAAATCGGCCCAGACCGTCGCCAGAGCTTGCTCCAGACACTCCATGTAGGCAAACCAGGCTGAGGGCCTTCCCAGTAGCGTTGTATGTGTTCTGAGTTGTTTGATGCTGGCTGTGCTTGTTGTCCCTGGTGGTTTTCAGAAATGGATGAACAGTCTTTAAGCCCGGTAGTACTGTAGGCCGTTAGTTTCAGTTTCTAATGGCAGCCCCGCTGCTAAATTTCCAAGAATAAATGGGGTTCTCTGTACAGGAGGAGCAAATCTCACAAAAGACTTACTGATGCACTTGAATGTTACCTTAACATGTTCTTTTTACTTTTCTGTTCTTATCTTAGATGTGACAGATGAGATGCTGAGCTTCTTCCTCACTCTGTTTCAAGGACTGAGGGTGCAGATGGGAGTGCCTTTCACTGAGCAGATCATCCAGACCTTCCTAAACATGTTCACCAGGTATTGTCCCATGTTGGTCACTTCTGTCTTGTCCCTCGGGATGATTTATCTTCATAAACCGCTCACACAGCGGGTCCCTGCCCTAAAGAATGTAGTGTTTCCAACCCCTTGGTGTCTGGGCTTTTGTCATGTCCCAGGGCTAAATCTAAGGAAAATGCTTCCAGGTCTGGAGTCACCCAGCCCATGCCTATCAGTCATACAGGCCACTGGGCAACTTCAGCTCTCCACGGGCTTTCTGGAAGTGTGTGATACTGAATGGGAGCCTCACATTGGCCTGTTGGCTCCTAGAGGGTACCCCAACAATCTCAAGCTTTTGTTGAGGACAGGGGGGTTCTGTCAAAACCTAGCTCCCTTCTGTGGCTTAATGTACTTGGTCTGTATTAGCCGAGCAAGTTTAGAGGCATTACCTGCTTTCCTTTAAATTAGGTAAACATGCAGATCTCTGGAAAGTTCCTGTATGATGACTCTGGTTTTGTTGTAGGGAGCAGTTGGCAGAGAGCATCCTCCATGAGGGCAGCACGGGCTGTCGGGTGGTGGAGAAGTTTCTGAAGATACTGCAGGTGGTGGTACAAGAGCCAGGCCAAGTATTCAAGCCTTTTCTACCCAGTGTCATCTCACTGTGCATGGAGCAGGTCTACCCCATCATTGCAGAGGTAGGGCTGCTCTCACACGAGGTGGAGGAAGGGGGGACGTGAAGGGAAGGCACTGCTGGGGGTGTGGGAGCAATTAAGCTTTTTGCTTTCCAAGAGCTGTAGATGTCAGTCCCTGTCCTGGGGAAACTGGGTGACCAGGCAGTGGGAATTGGAGGCAGCGTGGGTGGAGGCTTTTGTCAGGATTTGTCAGAGGCTAAAATTACAGACATGTTCAAAGCAGGAGGTAAAACTCGACAATGTGTTCTGAGCATGATCCAGCAGTTGCTGAGTTTGTGCCTTCCTTAGGAGGAAATACTTTGGTGCTCTGGTACCTTGGCTGCACAGCAGTGCCCTGGGTGCTTGCCCAGCAGGGTGCTGCTAGAGTGGGATCCAGGGGATGGGTGGGATTCCAGCACAGGAGCCTGCTTTTGAGTTATCTGTTCTCTTTTCCTCCTAGCGCTCATCTCCTGATGTGAAAGCAGAGTTGTTCGAGCTGCTTTTCCGGATCCTTCACCATAACTGGCGGTACTTCTTCAAATCTAGTGTGTTGGCTAGCGTCCAAAGAGGAGTAGCAGAAGAGCAGATGGAGAACGAAGCGCAGTTCAGTGCCATTATGCAGGTAACTCAGCTACTCCCGCAGTCGTCTAGAGCCCTTTCCGCGATGGAGCGTACGCTACTTGTGGCAGTCCGTTAAACGTGTGGCTGGTGGGGAGTAGACCGTGTCTTGAGTGATGTCTCGCCTTCATGAACTGCTGAAAATGAAAATGCTTGTAGAGCGGCCTTGCTGATGCCTCGCTGAGCGAGAGAGCAGGCGGTGAGGAAGGAACGTTAATTCCTTTTCATGCCTTATCCTGCATCTGGACCTAAAAATATATTACTGATGCTGACCCGTTTACTTGTGTTACAAGTCTTGTGGTTAGCACTAGGACAAACTGTCAGTGCAGGAAAGGTTTCCTGAGACCGGGATGTCTTCTGGTTTATATGGCCTTGTCCTGTGCTGCACTATCAGATCTGGTAGAGAAGGGTCAGTGGGGTTAATATCCTGTAGGCTTTGGCCTGGGGAATAGAGAAAGCAGAGGCAGTATTGCCAGCACGTACACAGAGCCAGCAAATTTTTAAGAATGGCAGACTGTATTCCACATGTTAGTTAGGTCAGAGCTGGCCAAATCCGTTCTCGTGCAGTCCCTAGATGTAAGAACTGCCCCCAAAACATGTAGTGCAACTCAAAGTCAGAAAAAAGAAAAAATCAGCCTCCTAATCTGTAATCAGAGTACCCGGTGTGGGGCCCTTCACCTTCAGCCCGTGTTGGTGTAACAGAAGCATGCTTGCACCATGTTCGGCAGCCTCAGAGTAGGGCTTGCTCCTCCTCCGAGGGCAGCGAGCGCTGGAGAGGAGGGCCATGTGCCTAGGCTTGAGGTGGGAGGACTTTCTCCAGAGCTGCCCCATCGTGGAGTGCTTGTGGAGACTGGGTCCCTTCTGGTACAGGAGTCAAGAGGGAGCTCTTGCGCGGATATAGACTGTATCTGTGTTTCTCTCTGGCCTTGCCTTTCCTAATCTTAACACCTTTTGGTGTGAATGAGGCCCGAGCTGGTCCCTGTGCAGGGCGGCTGTCCAAGTGTCTGTCTCACCTGTAGCAGTGGAACGCTCAGTGTCTTGGGGTTAGTTTTTTTTTTTGAATGCTCTCCAATATGAGGTCTTGGGGTTAGTTTTTTTTTTTTGAATGCTCTCCATTATGAGAGCAGCCAATGATTTGTGTTGAGGATATTACTAGTTTGTGTGCTGGTTTCCACAGGAGATCCCAGTCCAGAACTGGCTCGGTCTTGAAGGGACTTTGGCTTTTTTTTTATCCATCCAACAATAAATGGCTGATGTGGGGAGATAAACTCCCGTTTGTGATGCCTTGGAGCACCACCTGGTATAATTCCGCTGCCTACCTCTGTACAGAGCTTGCCTACCTCATCTGTAGAGTATTTTGGAGGAGCTCAGGGTGTAAAAGGTGTTTTGTCACGAAGTCTGTGCAGCCTACCAGACCAGTTCAGTGGGGCCAGCAAGTATTCCTAGGCTCTTTCCTGCTTCTGTACAGCCCAGGTCAGCCTCCCAGCTCCCATCTCTTAGCATCTGTCTAATTTGGTGCAGTAACATGTTGAAATGCACCTGCCAGTCATCTTGGTCTCTTGGCTTATATTGAGAGCAAAACCCGTGCGCATTCTGGTTTTGTTCATGCTTGCTGTGCTACCTCAGGCAGCGTCCCTGAGAAACAGCCGAGTCCTTCACAAGCAAACTGCCTGCCAGGGGAGCTGTGCTCAGCAGCCGTGTTCCTCCCTGCTGCAAGCCTGGCCACATGTTCCCAACGGACCCAGCTGTTCTGCAAGGAGAAGAGTGTGTTTCCATCCTCTTCCTTCTTTCATTCTCCTTTCCGTGTTTCCATCTTCTTCATTCCTGTTGGCCTGGCAGCAGCACGATTGCCGTGAACAGCCGCCTCTCCTGTCTTGCTGCACTGAGAAGCAGCAGAGGCTCCCAGGAGTTTGTTCTGGTGTCAGAGTGAAAATGACGGTGTTCTGCCTGGCAGGTCTGATACTCACCATGATATCAATCCCTTTCCTTCAATTCTGCTTTGTTCATAGGCGTTTGGCCAGTCCTTCCTGCAACCTGACATTCACCTGTTCAAGCAGAATCTCTTCTACTTGGAGACGCTGAACACCAAGCAGAAGCTGTACCACAAGGTGAGTCCTAGCTGACTGGCGCACACTCTGTGCATGGCAGTATGCAGGTGCTCTTCTGAGACTGCTTTTAAACTGCTCAGAAACTGAAGGTCAGGATCTGGGGACACAACATTGCTGTGATCCTGATGGATATGCTGCCACAACATTGGTTGCTGTGATCCTGATGGATATGCTGCTGGTCAGAGTGGCGTTACCACCTCCCTGATACTGCTGCAGTGGGCACAGGAGAGATCCCAACTCCAATCAGTCGAAGCAAAGCCTTGGTGTGCCCTCCTGTGACAATGAGGGAAAGCAAAGCACATGCACAGTGGCAGTGCAGTTTGTCTGAGGAAGCAGAAATTGGGAAATTGGGATCATCAGTGGGACAGTGGCCGAGTCCCTCCATTGTTCTCATCCAGGTCAGCTGCAGGAGATCTGTTATTTACGGTCGGTCACTGCCAGGTGGTGTCCATCACTGTCAAGTAGGACCTGTTCTCCAGACCCTCTAATTTAGACCTGTCAGCTGCTGTCAAGAAGGATTAAAGTTGGAATCCAGGGTCTTGCCCTTCTGCTTAGCCTGTGAAAGCAGAGCTTTCGGGTTTGCATCTGTGGTCACAACTGAAGGACAGTCCATCGTGTTAACAGCTGCCTGTTGCAGGCAGTTAGCCAGATTCCCTGGCTTTCAGGAGTGCTGTGCCAGGCTAAAACTGGCTGGAGTTTGACTGGGACTTGATGCTGCTCGCTTAAAAGCCAATGCTTAAAACTTGGGTTGGGGGCATGATGTAAGTGTGGTCAAATTCCCTGATAGCTTTAAAGCCGATACTGGTCTAGCTTATTGTAGCCATTTGTGATCTTGGCTTAGAAAATTCTCTCTGTGCTGACGAGAGCTTGCAGACCTTGCTGACAGCTCCGGAGCTGCTGGTGTTGGAGTGGCCCTGTGGAGCCGTGCTCACTTCCCTGGTCCGAGCCCGATGCGTCTGTACTTCTGTGCTGGCTGCTGCGATCCCTCTTGCGGGAGGGCTGCTGGTGCCAAGACGCCTCACTGTGTGCTTCTCTCCCTCTGCAGAAGATCTTCCGGACAACCATGCTGTTCCAGTTTGTGAATGTGCTGCTCCAGGTGCTTGTCCACAAGTCGCATGACCTGTTGCAGGAGGAGATCGGCATCGCCACCTACAATATGGCTTCAGTGGACTTTGATGGCTTCTACTCAGCCTTTCTCCCCGAGTTCCTGGCCAGTTGTGATGGTGTGGACTCGAACCAGAAAAACGTGCTGGGAAGGAATTTCAAAATGGACAGGGTAAGAAGGGGAAACGCTGCAGCAGAATGCCGGTATTCCTGGGCTGTGTGGGCTTTTCTCCTAGGACGCGCTGGCAGGCATCCATGAGCTTCTCGGGGCAGTGTTTGGAGGCAGTACCTCTTGTTCCAAACGCTTCCATGCTCAGCAGTGCCCAGCCAAGGATCTTTCACTGTGGGTAGCAGAGCTGCCATCTCATCTCTCGGACTGCTGAATGCTGTGGGAGTTAGGGAATATGTCTCCTGGAGGAAGCTTTCATAGGGGTAGACTGACATTTTCTAGAGCGGGACATGCAGGTCCTTGCCAAAGCCTTGCTCCAGCTGCTGGCCAGATGTTTGAGGGTTACAGTGAAGACAACAGCGGAGTAGCTGCGAAAGCTCACAATTCTTTCAAACGCCTTGGATGAGTGTGAAGCAAACGGGAGTCTGTAACCTCTGTGCAGCAGGTTGTGGCTTCCATCTGCTGAAGCTTGCTTGTCCATTGAGTGCTGTTTCTCCTGTGGGAGATGGAGGGGATTTGGAACCAAGGTTGAGGGTAGGCAGGGAGCCTTGGGAGGATCACTGGATTCCAGAGGGCAATTGCTCTTCAGGAACACTGGCCCTTGCTGTGGGGTACGTGGTATGGTGCTGGCCCTTGCTGTGGGGTACGTGGCATGGTACATGGGTCGTGACCATTCGTGTGGTGCCTGACTGCCCACAGAGAAGCCGGTGCGTGAGCAGAGCCTAGAGCTCTGTAGTCAGCTCTCTGCATGGAGCAGCTCTGGAGCCGTCTCCGTTCCCGGTGCGTGGGCTGCAGAAACTTGGGTTTCCTGGGCACAGACTCTGGAGGAATGGGTCTGTTGTTCTGCTGTGTGAAAATACACGTGGGTGTTTGGCCCTCTCGGTTCCCCCCGTTCTCTGCTGTAAGACAGTGCTTGTAGGTGTTACTCTGTTTGCAGTACAGCCTGGTGTTTGATCTTTTCCAGGATCTGCCATCGTTTACCCAGAACGTGCACAGACTGGTGAATGACCTGCGTTACTACAGACTCTGCAATGACAGTTTGCCCCCTGGAACTGTGAAACTGCAGTTGCTG